ATTGGTAAATAATGTAGGATATTACCATTAAAACCAGAATTTGAGTTACTTTTATGTCATGTAAGTACATTTTTTAAGAGATGGGAATATTTTACCCTCATGGACTCCAATGCCTTTCTAGAGAAATCAAAACTCTATTGGTTTCAATCTCAATGGCAATTTTAAGTCTTTACCATCCATTGCTACAGTGTTTAACTGATGAAAGATCATCCATAACATAAAAATATACTTCCGTTGAATGCAGCTTTTTTTTTTAAAGATTCAGCCTTTAATCTACTAAGTCATAAATGACTCAGGAAGTCTGAATTTCCCAAGTCTCTTAACACCAGCAAATAATTCCATTGCTCTAGCCCTTTTTTTTTCCTGAGCATGATTCACAAAGAATTCACTCCTTGCCAACCCAGGGCTACTTCACTTTATCACTAAGAACAATTAAAAAAACACTTCCCAAATCAAACGAAGACTTCCTCAACCAGGTCTGTTACAGCTGTCAGGGCGTCCGTTTCTGTTTTGTTACGTCCGTGAAGTCCAAATCTATCACGTGGTGTACAGCCTGGCTCCGGTCTGCCCGTCTCCTGCCACCGCAGCCCCGTCTCTTCCCCATCCTCTTATCGACTGTCCCGTCTTCCAGTCACACTGGACCTTTCATCTTTCTTAAACTCTGCATGCTTCCCTTCACAAGCCTCTCTGATTCTTCTAGAAAGCCTGTTCCTCCCCTTAATTCTTATCCACTCATCAAGACTCAGTTCAGACCTTGCCTCTTCCGTGACATCTTTTCTGTGCCCTCGTCCCCAGCTGGAGCGATTTCTTTGCTCCTCTGTTCTCCCACGACACAACTCACCTCCACCTCTTTCTCTCTCCTTCCCCCCTTCCCGACCCAACCATAAAACACTTCTTTGGCCTACAGGACTGGGGTTGGGGGGAGTTCAGGAAGAGCAGTGGGTCCTGGGCCCCGTTACCCCCTAAAATATCTTGTAGAAGTGAGTCTTTTCAATAACTTCATTTAATATGTGAAAATGATGTCAGTGTAAATGAAAAACAGAAGAGGAAGCAGTGTGAAATACCACTGGTCAGAACATGAGATATTACAGGAAAAAATTAAAAATAGTGCCTTTGAAATGTGTGCAATCGCTCAGCAACCAGTGTTCCTGCCAACTGCCAGCGGGGCCCTGCCCCCGGCTGGCTCCTCTGACGGCCCGGCCAGGACCCAGATGAAGGACAAGCTCCTGCAAGTCGTCAGATGCTCAGGCACTAGAGGAAACCCCTGCCTCACGGAGTTTAAGTGGGATGAAAGCACTGCTTCGGAAAGCTGACTTCGGAGTGGGCATGTGTTTCCAGAGACAGTTTTGAGGGCAGTGCAAGAATCTTAGTGGAAGCAATAAAGCCTGGAACTGGGCTAAAAATGGAAAGACAGATATTCTTGAAAGAGACCTGAAGAATCAAAGAACCAAGTAAGTTGGTAATTAAGAGGACGTGGAAGGAGCCGAGCATGGCCTCTTTTCTGCTTTGTGCTGCTCGGTGTCACAAACTTGACTGGTTATCAGTCCCTCTCGGGGCCCAGTCTCACTCCTCGTCTGTCTGCTAATGTCTGAGCGCGTCGCCCCTTTGTTCTCTGGATCCCGGTGGCCACTGGGATGCAGCCCACAGCCCCGAGCTGGCTGCGAGTCTCACTTTCTCGTGCACGCTCTCCTAGACATCCGCACAGCCCACCCGACTGTCATTTGGGGGCGCTCACTGCCGCTCGGTACACGGGAGGGACCCAATCACCAGTCCCCAGAGGGACAGAAACCTTATTTTCAGAAAGAATGAGATGGAATGTTTTACTTGATTTCTAAGACCTTTATCGTCAGTCTGATTTAGAGCAGGTGTTGGCTGTTTCTCTTTCATTCCAACAGCTTAGTTTTCAGTTGCCTTAGTAACTCATCAGCCATTCTTCTTTCGGGAAGAAAGAGTCATTGATTAACACCTTATGTCATTATGTAGGTTTATGGCTTTATGAGCCGCTCTATGGGAATATTCCACAAACAGGAAAGAACAGTTCTTTACACGGCAGACTTTCACTCAACATGGAAAAGCAGATGCCCAAAAGAGGGGCTGGCAAGTTTGGAATGTGAGACGGCGCAGGGCGAAGGCGAGCAGGGCACGTGGGCTCCGAGGCAGGAAGCTCAGGCCACAGCCTCGGGCAACTGAAATGAGCTGTGGGTTCATGAAAGGGAGGCAGGCAGATGCCACCTTGACTGTTGATTGTCCTCCTTATACGAAATGCCCCTATTTTAGTAAGAGTTCATTTCTATGATTTCTGCTTTCTTGGTGGCAATTTGGGGAATCGTCAAGAATATGATTTGTTGGTCTTTATTTTAAATTTCTTGACCCCGAAGTGTTCTCGCTATTCTTTGAAATAATGATTAATATTCCAGTAGAATTTACCCTGTCCCTTAAAACAATAAACTGAAAGGTCATGGTTGGTATTTCTAGAATTTGAGCAAAAAAAGAGCCTACATGGCAAACACAGTTTACATTTCATTTCTTCCTCCTTTAATTCTTTCTTTCTCCAGACATTTATATGGTGCCTATAATGGGCCTGCCTCTCTTTCAGGGTGCTGAGAATATAAAGATAAGACACTCAGACTAAAAGTCTAGAAGGACAGCAGGTAAGTAAATGAATAACCACAATACATTCATTATTCTGGTAGACACACCCCGCGGGGCAGCTCTCTGGGCACCTAGATTTTGAGGAGTACAGCCAAGGAAAAGGGGGTGTCTGAGCTAAACCCAGAATCATGAGTAGCCAGGCAACCCCAGAGCTACTGGGGGCAAAGAGATAGTGGGACAGATGGACAGAGAGGCAGAGGAAGGAGGGAGGGAGGGAGGGGAAACCTCTGAATGAGTATCTTCCATTAAAGGAAACAGAAGGGGTTCCAAGTGGTCCGAGTGTGCAGGGGTGTGTCTGGGGACGGTGGTGATGGAGGGCGGAGGGGAGGAGCAGGTGATGAGTCTGGAGTGATAAGCAGAGGTGAAAATAAGGGCCTTTTGTGCTATGCTAAAAAGCACAAAAACTTGGCAGAATTATGGAAAGAGTATAAACTACGGAGAGAAAGAGTTAGATTTGGGAAGATCATTTTAACAGTCCCAGAGAACAGTTCTCGATGAGCGAAACCAGAGGCAGAGTGACTCATGCAATGGAGATGGAAAGAAGGGTAAGAATTCAAGACCCACTGAAGAGACTGTATGACTTGATAGGTGACCATGGAGGGAGGTGGTAAGAATGACTCCCAGGTTTGTACACAGTAGGACTTCAGCATGAAGAGATGGTTAGGAGTAGATGGTAGGGAGGAGCCGATAAAATTAGTCTGGGATGTGCAGGAGGTTGTTATGAAGACATACAGATCCAGAGCTCAGGACAGAGCACAGTTCTGAGGACTAAACCGGAACTCGTGAGGATGCACGCGCAATTCATAGGGCGCGGCGGCTGGGAAGAGCGGCCAGGCTGGGAAGAGAAGGGTTACTGAAGGTGACATTTTCAGGCATGTGGAAAAGAAGGACTCAGGGAAGACTAAGGAGAAATGGCTGGAGTAGCTGGTGCCCTGAACACCGAGGGCGGACAGAACTTCCCAGATGGGGGCATCGAATGCCGCCCACGGCAGGAGTAATATAAGGATGGAATATGGGTCAGCTTTGGGTGTAGCTGTAGGGCAGTCATCGGAGCATCTGTGAGGAGAGTGGCTCGGCGACACGGTGGGGACTGAACCACCCTGCAGCAGCTTGCTGAGAGGTTGGGAGATGACAGGGTGGTTTAGGAAGCATGGGAACACGGAGGTCAAGACAAGAATGCCAACTGTTGGGGGGTATGGCATGATGAGTTTTGTGATTGTTAACACCGTTTTGTTAAAACTGTGCCTAACGCAAACCCAACAATGTAGTCGGCATTTAATACATTTTGAATTATCCACATAAAAGTCTCGATCAGCTTTTTCCTCCATTAACAATTGCCTCATGCATTTTTTTCTTGATAAGTGTGTCCATATTGGCAAAGAACTGCTTTCTACAAGAAATGTTGTAAGTCTTTGTAAAACTATTTCACTCCTGCTTCAAGATTAGATTAGCCCTACCCTAAATAATATCTTTTACCATCAGGCAATGAGGATGCAGCACAATTTCACTTAAAGGGATGATCGATTAAGAGGTCTTAACTTCCACTAAGTAACTTTAGAAATCAAACAAGAATATCTCATGACACACCGTTACAGGAATAATTGATTTAATTGGCCATCGGTTTCTGAATCTTTCTCTTAGGGACTTCCTCCATTCATGATATTTGTGCTCCAGCATTAAACCTGAATAAGGGTTAAGTTCCAAAGTCTAGATTGGTCAAGCCACAAAGCAAATAGGAGAGGCAAAGAAATGACTTTGCAAATGTAATTATTTCAGTTATTCAGTACTGCCAAAAAATACCATCCAAATTGCTACTGCTCAACTCTAAAAGCAGCAGGTATCAAGGCAAAGCAGAGACATCTAGGAATGAGCTGTATTTGCTTTTTTAATCTATATTTTATGGTCGTAGTTATCAAAATAGTGTTTGTGGGTCACTCAGCACCAAGCATAAGCATTTTTTTCCTATCTCCCTCCTTTATTTCAAAGCATATTGAGAAAATGCATGCAGTTACCTATTTCTTGGTCTACTTTGGAGTTTGTGCTCATGCAGAACAGATTCTCACACGGCCAAGGGGGAGCTGTCCCTTCGGCCAGCATCTAATTTGAAGCAGATGGATTAAACGTCACATTTCCCTGCGAAGCTGCCGGAGGAGCAGGTAGCTTGGCCCCTGTCCCTGAGGCAAACAGGATACTCTGTCAGTTAGGCAGCTGCCTGAAAAGTCATTATATTAATCGCTTATCTCTGGAAGCTTTCTCTGCAGCCCCAGAAGGGCCAGCTCACGCTGGCAGGGCTGTGGGAACACAATGTGCTGGCACGGGCCACACTGCAGCCTGGCGAGGGGACTCACCCGAGCTGGGGGTCGGCGCAAGTGCTTCTCTCCACGAGCATATTCCCACTTCCTCCTGCTGCTGCTTGGCCAGCGGTCATGTGCAGCCTCCTCCTGCCCGAGTCCGCCGTGGCACTGGGCCCGGCTTCCCTGGCCGTGCGGGTGCTGTGGAAAGAGCTCTGATGCCAGCAGGACCAGGCCGCCCTGTTCTGAGTGACGGGCTGCAGGGGGGCCAGCGGCCTGACCTGCCCAGCGGGAAGCCCTGAGGTCAGGTAGTTCTCCTTCTCCAAGAGGTTGCCCATGCTGTGGCTGGTCCCAGGCCTGGGGTACGTGAGCACCACTGGCTTGACAGAGACGCCATTGGGAATGGTGTCGTTGACAGACCTGCACTGGTACTGTCTGCGGTAAGTGTCATAGTGGCGCTGTCTGCTCAGGGCTCCGGAGTGGCTGAAGCCGACAATCTCCGAGCGGGCATATCTAGGGGGCAGGAGGAGGGTCGATCTCCTGCTCTCTTGGTGCCACAGGGTGTGCCCGGCCTGGCCCCTCTGGCTGTACTGGGAGTCGCTGTGTGAGGAGTAGACCCTCTCAGGGCTGCTGTCTGGAGAAATCTCAAGTCTCCTCAGAGGCTGCCTCAAGGACCTCTCTTCCATGGACTTCTGTGAGCTGTACTGGGCAGTTCCTCTTCCCCAGCGACTTTCACAAGTGGCAGCTGTGCCTGTCTGCATGAGAGAGAAATGCTGTTTAGATGAGACCCGAGTCAGTGCCCTCACGTGGAAGGCTGACCTCCAGGACTGCTCTGCAAGGGGTCCATTTCCCTGATCACATGAAGAAGTTGATCCCTTTCTGGGTTAAAAAAATGCTTGGACGACTTGGTTAACTAGTTATTCGTACACAGATTTGATTCTGTTTAAAGTCCCCAGTTTTCGATGGATTCCACAGTCAATCTTCCCATAGTTCATTTAGGAAATGGTAATGCTTGGGGAGAGGTCAACGTTCAAAAGTAACCCATGGAGGTTTTAAAATGTTTTCATGGCAATCTGATACCCTGGTTATTCTGGGGCCCTACCTTTAGCATGTCATAGGTCTTGGGAACAGGGGAACGACCACCAAGAAAATCATTTTCGACCAAGTGTACATTGTAGACATACTCAGGAACACTGCTGGTTCGGTGAAGATTCCCTGCAATCAAGCATATATTAGAATAATATAAGTGGGCCAATCAGTAGTTAAAGATTGTGTCACAACAGTATAAATTGTAACAGTTAAGGCCAGTAACAAGTATTAGATTTATATTACGGTTTTTAAGTGCTGGTTTAACATCACCCTTGAATGTGGGAAATAACCAAAGGTTATCACAACTATCTCCACACACTTTCAAAGTGAAGCTGAATTAAAAATAAATTATATTATTTTAAAATGTATGATTATTACTTTTTTTAGGAAAAGGAAGAAAGGGGAAAGGAGATTTTCACAAAAATCCAAAAATGCTTATACAATGCTAAGGAATTTGGGATCACTTATTGGCTTAGGTGGCCCACATTATAAAAGTTCAGTTCAAATACCTCAACATAAGGAAGGCCATATATGACAACCCACAGCTAACATCATATTTAATGGAGAAAAATTAAAAGCTTTTCCTCTGAGATCAGGAACAAGACAAGGATTGTCCACTCTCACCACTTTCATTCAACATAGAACTGGAAGTTGTAGCCATGGCAATCAGACAAGAAAAAATAAATAAAAGGCATCCAAATTGGTAAGGAAGAAGTAAAACTGTCATTATTTGCAGATGACATCATACTACGAGGTACATAGCAAACCCCAAGGGCTCCACCAAAAAAACTATTAGAACTAATAATTGGATTCAGCAAAGTCGCAGAACACAAAATTAATACACATGAAACTGATACTATACTCCTATATTAACAATGAACTAGCAGACAAAGAAATTAAGAAAACAATTCCATTTACAACTGTATCAGAAAGAATAAAATACCGAGGTATAAACCTAACCAAGGAGACAGAGACCTGTACTCTGAAAGCTATAAGATACAGATAAAAGAAACCGAAGAAGACACAAATAAATGGAAATTCATCTCAGGCTCATGGTAGAATAATTAACATTGTGAAAATGGCCATCCTGCCCAAAGCAATTTACAGGTTCAATGCAAACCCTATCAACACACCAGCGTCATTTTTCAGTGAACTAGAGCAAATAATCCTAAAATTCATATGGAACCACAAAAGACCCCAAAAAGCCAAAGCAATCCCAAGAAAGAAGAAAAAACTGTGGGGATTATGCTCCCTGGCCTCAAGCTTACTACAAAGCTATGGTAATCAAAACAGTATGTCACTGGCACAAGAACAGACACATAGATCAATGGAACAGAATAGGGAGCCCAGAAACAAACCTATGCATATATGGTCAACAAATATATGATAAAGGAGATAAGACTATAAAATGGGGAAAAGACAGTGTCTTCAATAACTGGTGTTGGGAAAACTGGATAGATACATGCAACAGAGTGAAACTAGATTACTATCTAAAACCATACACAAAAGTAAACTTGAAATGGATCAAAGACCTGAGTGTAAAACATGAAACCATAAAACTCTTAGAAGACATAAGTAAAAATTTTTCGAACATAAGCATGAGTAATTTTTTTCTAGATAAATATCCCCAGGCAAGGGAAACAAAATAAAAAATAAACAAGTGGGACTACATCAAACTGACACACTTCTGCACAGCAAAGGACAACATCAACAAAACAAAAAGGCGTCCTACAGTATGGGAGAATATATTTGTATATGACATATTAGATAAGGGGTTAACATCTAAAATATACAAATAACTCATATAACTCAACAGAATAAAAACAAGTAATCCAATTAAAAAATAGGCAGAGAACCTGAACAGACATTTTTCCAAAGAAACATACAGATGAACAGGCACATGAAAAGATGTTCCACATCACTAATCATCAAGGAAATGCAAATCAAAACCACAATGAGATATCACCTCACACCATTAGAATGGCCACCATCCAAAAGACAAGAAATAACAAGTGTTGGTGAGGATGTGAAGAAAAGGGAACCCTCCCTACACTGTTGGTGGGATGTAAACAGGGCAGTCACTATGGAAAGCAGTATGGAGGTTTCTTAAAAAACTAAAAATAGAAATATCATGTGACCCAGTAATTCCACTTCTAGGAATTAGTCGAAGAAAACAAAATCTCTGATAATAGATGAATGGATAAAGATGTGGTACATACACACAGAGGAATATTATTCAGCCATAAGAAAGAAAGAAACCATGCCATTTGCAACAACATGGATGGAGCTAGAGGGTATTATGGTAAGTGAAATAAGCCAGGTGGAGATAGACAAATACCATATGATTTCACTTATCTGTGGAATCTAAACACAAAACAGCAAGAGACTCACAGACACCGAGAAGTAACTGGGTGGTTAGCATGGGGAGAGCCTTGGAGGGGGGGTGAAATAGGTGAATGGGATAAAGACGCAAGAAGTTCCAATCATGATAGAAATTAATCATGGGGATGAAAGCACAGCATAGAGAGTAGAGTCAATAGTTCTATAACGTCTTCCTGTATCGATAGATAGTAACTATATTAGTTGGGGTGAGGATTTAATAATGTAGATAACTGTCGAATTGCGACATTGTGCGCTTGAAACCAGTATTATATATCAACTACACTTCAATTAAAAAAAATTAAAAAAAGAAAATTTTGGAATTTCTTTTTGGAATGAACCTGCTTTCCTCAGTGCTTCACCAGAATACAAATGTTTATACAGGGAAAACTACTTTCTCTTAAAAATATTGCACTCACTTAGGGCCTAGCTGACAAAGCGTGTAAGATATTTCCTCCAGGCCCGTTCTCACCCAATTCTTATAAGTGCTGATTACATTAAGGAAATAAAGAATTGAATTGGAAAAAGACAAAGAAATTCAGTTCTTAAATCCCAGGAGACCTCTATTCCCGGGGTAGGGACTCAGGAGCTCTCTGAGAAGGATGTAGGTGTAGACAGTAAGTGCAGTGGTGACTCAACACCCAACGGGAGAAGGCGGCTTGTCTAAACAACAAGGTGGGGGTGAGACCACGCAGGTCAAAGAAAACGTGGACCAGCTTGGAAAATGCCAAGCCTGCAGCCGAGGTCTCTGGCACTATGAGGCAGAAGAAACTGAGCCCTGCACCTCAAAGGGCAGCTTTTGTGGCATTCTGGCGGCTGGGGACCAGCTCTCTCCTGTGAGCCCTGAGCGGCGGCAGCCCTTCCTTCCGCTCAGCTTGGTGGCCAGCAGCGACTTTCTCGACTTTCTTGTTTGCTGCCTGTCTCTTAAAACACTTCTCTTCGAAGAGATTGTGACCCTCTTCGGCCTCCTTTAACCTCCTCCCAGCTTTTTGACCTTCTGTTAAGCTCCCGCTGCCTTCCAAAAAATAAAAAAAGAAGCTAGTCAAAATAATCAAAGACCTCTAAAACCTCGGGTAATGTCTAGTTCCCTAATTTGCACCAAAACGTCTTTTTCTGCCATGTAGCATTCTTTTAGAAATCAGAAGAAAAAAAACCCAGTTAACTCTTTTAGGCTTTGGAGAGTTGTAAAAGATGTTGAGAATGAAACATCACAGGTGGTCCCTTTCTAAAACAATGGGACACCCCAACAATCTTTCCCATTAAATTGTGATAAAGTCAAAATTTCAAAGACTAACGGCAGATTCGCCCATTATTTTGATGGGGAGGGGGAACAGTGATTGCTGCCAGAGAGCTAAAGAGTATGACATTATATTTGTACAAGTGTCTTATTTCCAAAGCCAAACAATCTGGCTGGCAAACAAATTTGGGGTTTCAAGGGATCCTGGGGGAGGTGGCTGCAGGCTGGTAACTGGTGCCCCAAGACCAGGGAAGCTGAGCTAAACCAGGCATCTCCTGTTTCCAGGGGCCTCATTTCTCTGCAAGCGCTGGCCAAAGGTCAGGAAGCCCCCTAATTTTTAACCTCAGTGGTGACAGAACATGCCTGGAAGCTGGACACTGGATGAAGAAAGTAATTCTCTCTGAGCCCAGAGCCAGGGATGTGGGAGGCCTTAAAGGTTCAACGCTCACTGCCTGCCTGAGGCTCCTGCCCAAGTGGGCTCGTCTCCAACCTGCCCCCCCCTACAGCCACCCCCCCACCCCTGCCGGCTATCAGGGAGGCAGGGCTGCAAGCGTCCTGCTGGGGTGGGCAAGGTGGCTAGCTGGGCAGGCCCAGGGAACACGCTGGCTGTAATCCTGAAGGCTCTGGGGACAAGGGTGCCCTCAGCACTGGGGGGTGTACAGAGGGTGCACGGAGCAGGCGTGCACGGGGCAGGGAAGTGCTTAAACTGTGAGCTGCTGCGATAGAGCAGCAGCCTCTTCTACAGAGGCTGCAGCCAGGCAGAAAATGATTGGTCATTTGATAAGTAAGAAACCAAATTTACTGCTTTTTAACAAGTAGTTTAAGAGCTTCCATATTCAAAATTTTTAGATTATACAAAAACAGAATATATGAAAGTCAGGGACAACTTAGAATGGGAAAATACTAACAGCATATACGGATGGAAGCTAGAACCATTAATCCCTGTTACTCTATAAGGAACTGTCAGATGATGAAAGGGTGCAATTTTAGGCATCCAGGAAAATTTCTACTTCGTTGGGCCCGTCTAGCCCATCATCACCTGCAGGATTAGCCCTGTCCCCACTCCCAGGACCAGGTAGACATTCAGGAACAGTTAACTGGGCGTTAGTCACTTCCATTTTTAGGTTGAGATTTCTGCAAGGATTTTAAAAATGTGTAAGAATCTTTGGGCAGGACCCCGTGAAACAGTGTTTGACATCAAAATGGCTAATGAGGGAGTTTTATAACCAGGCCTGTGGAAGTAAAATGCTTAACTCATGTTGGCTGGCAGTCCTAAGGCTTTTAAACGCAACTTAAGGGAACTCCTTACATCTCAATATTACTTTTCTTCAAGGAGTTCAAATTATTTTATATGTTTCTTTTCAAAATTCTGTGATGCAGAGCCAGGTATTAACTGCTGTTTGATACACTGTGGAACTTGCATTTATCAAAGCCGTGGAGGGATTATTATCATGGTTTTGGATAGGAGGACCAAAAGCTTTCCTCTACAGCCTTACCTGGGCAACTACAA